TATAATTATTGTTTTTGCCACTGAAGTCCGAACCACACATAAGGCAGACTACCCTAGTTTAGGTTGGCTCGTTTCTGGCTCCTAATGATGTACTATCCCGTTGAACTTTCATAATTCAAGATGCAGTATTTAACCAGAGTCTGACTTACTTGTAATACTGCAGCATCCATCTCTTGTTGACGAAACATAGTTTGGGGCAAACTACGTTAGTTTCCGTGTGAATGGTTAGAAATGTGATCTTCAATAAAAAGAACAACAGAGAGAGGGGAATGTGCCTGTATGTGGCCGTGGATGGAGTTCAGCACCAAGGACAGGTCTGATCGCCTGTGTGTAGATAGTGTTGCGTACATACACGTGAGTTTACTTGCGAATGAATGGCGTTTTGCAACGGTGGTTTGTTTATTATTGGATGGATGGTGTTCAGCACCAAGGACAGATCTCCGCGTATCCAAGAACGTAGATTTGCCCCAAGCACGGTTCTGGATACGAGTCGAGAATCCAGAACCGTGCTTGAGCATGGCTCTGGATAAAGCACGGTTCTGGATACAACAGAGTGGATGTCAATTCCATGGCCTCTTACATTCGCCAAATAACGATCTTAACCTTTTCGACCGACGAATCGTAAATGTTTCTTATTGATAACGTTCATCACTATTGTATCCTACATTCACTGTGTAACATCCAGCTTTGAACAAATATCCGGCGTGTAACACACCTACATCCAGCTTCACACACTCTAAACACACACACGGCCTGTCATTGACATCCAGTGTGTGGACATGGCGTGTCACACACACACATGACATGTCACACACACGGCGTGTCACTCACATCCACCGTGTCACACACACACACGGCGTGTCACACACACACACACGGCGTGTCACTCACATTAAGCGTTTCACACACACGGCGTGTTACACACACACACACGGCGTGTCACACACAACCAGCGTGCCACACACACACACACGTGGCGTGTCACTCACGTGATCACATCAAGCGTTTCACACACACGGCGTGTTACACACACACACACGGCGTGTCACACACAACCAGCGTGCCACACACACACACACACACGTGGCGTGTCACTCACATCAAGCGTGTCACACGCACAGAAATACACGGCGTGTCACACACACACACACACACAGCGTTGGCAAACACACACACGGCGTGTCACACAACCAGCGTGTCACACACACACACGGCGTGTCACACACAACCAGCGTGTCACACACACACGGCGTGTCACTCACATCCAGCGTATCACACACACACGGCGTGTCACTCACATCCAGCGTATCACACACACACGGCGTGTCACACACAACCAGCGTATCACACACACACGGCGTGTCACACACAACCAGCGTATCACACACACACGGCGTGTCACTCACATCCAGCATGTCACACACACGCAACATGCCACTCACAACCAGCGTGTCACACACACACGGCGTGTCACACACAACCAGCGTGTCACACACACACACGGCGTGTCACACACAACCAGCGTGTCACACACACACAGGGCGTGTCACTCACATTCAGCATGTTCACATCCAATCACACACAAGCACGTCAGCAAAACGTACTGCGCCTGTTCAAAACCACGGTTTCTGTCGGATGATTGGTCAACGTTGCACCAGAAGATTGTCCGTTGCTTATATTTCTCAACACATCCTTATGAAATAAGCGAACACGATGTAAATGGTGCATTATGTTTTAAAGTACTGTAAACGCTCCGTTCCGGATTTCGCACAGGCACAGTACGTTGTGCCGACTTGCTTAATATTCACACACAAAAAGGCACATGCAGCACGTCACATGGCTTTTGTACCAGAAATGACCAATGAGACACTGTGGCACAGCTACCAATGGCAACGAATCTCTGAAAAGTACAGAACCGAAAAGAATCCTTTTATTTAGCCTATGTCATGTGACTTAAGTACGTCACCAGTAAGATGGAGAAGGCGACTGCATAGCAAGGAAATTCCTTTTAAATGAGAGATAATTTGGCAATATTCCTCTCATACAAAGTACAACAAAATGTACAGTTATAGCTATTCATTGAGTTGTGAACAATAAAGAGGCACTGGAGGTCAGTCCCTCAACTAAACAGAACAGATCACATTGCAATGACTATGTTTCAGCTTGGGGTGACAGAGATGCTTCATCTACACATTACCACTTTGGCATAAACTCTCAGTCATAACACCAGTATCTTACAACCAGAACACCTGAGGAATTAAAGAAAAGCAAGTTTTACTGCTGAAGTTAAGAAAGGCTCTAATCACTGACAGCTTTCCTTAAAAGCAAGATATGTAGTAGCATGTGAGAACTAAAGCTCCTTGGTGATATACATTATATTTGTCTGAAATACTCCATGACTTCCATCTCTCTCACAGTCAATATCTGGAGGTACACATGTACACGGTACATGGTGCTGCTATTTTCCACAATCCACCCATCATATTGACAGTCATACAACCTTTTCTCAAATCATTATAAATCGAGTTTAAACTGTAATATCCAACACAAGAAAATGGATTCACCCAAATTTTCGACTGTACAACTCCAGTCTTTGTCAAGGAATGTGAGCAGTGGATTTAAATCCCTCCCTCAACAGAGACGGGGGGCGCCACAGACTTCCTGCAACCTATGATCCACTGCTCACGGAGTCACGTGTGTTATCTGCGTGACGTCACGGAAGCGGTGGATTGCTCATTCCTTGACAAAGACTGGAGTTGTACAGTCAAAAATTTGAGTCCAATTTCTTGTGTTGGATATTACAGTTGAAACTCGATTCAAAATGACTTCTACCAACACAGATGAACTTTCAAGATAACATTTCTCAAGTCATAGCAAACACTAGCAGCAGTACAGATCATCAATCTCGAGTGGAAAGCCACTTCACTCAACTTGCACTTTTCAAGATTGAAAAATAATCATCAACCAAATAAACAAAAGCAAAAAATAAGTTACAGAAATAACAAAAAATATCTCCACTGGTGCCACTAATTTCAAATATCATGTACTGCAAGAGATTCTGCAAAATGACCATCTATTCAGCAGCACCTGAGTGCACTGTTTGAAAGTTTAGCAGTGTGCACCATGATAGTAACTTTATATATATATTCGCTGTATTCAACGTTACTGGTCACAAAACATTTTCAAATAAATTTCTTGTACAACATGCAAGTCAAATAATGAACCATCTATTTAGTGTACCATTCACAATCGACAATGTACGATAGACACTGGCCCTCTGCAACACTGGCCATTTGTAAAGTAAAGGAAAAAAGGAATATGACTACTGGTAGTAGTTTGTGCTCCAGTAGTCTTGCAATACAAGGTTAGCTGAAACTGTATCAAACACAGACTGACCAGGACTGTACTATCCCTACAAGTATTCAGGAACTGGAAACAAGAAAAATGCTACATTTTAACATGGTTGTTTCAATGGTGCTGTTACATGTACATAAAACAAAGCAGCATTTCATGTTTCATACAAGCCACCTGCACTCTACGTAATATTTACCATTATTCTATGGTTAAGTCATGTACATGGTGATGTATTAATGAATTCCTAGATCCTTAGATGCATATACAGTCGCATTGTGTGTGAATGAATAGAAATTTGGAGCGTAAATCATTTTGTAAGGATGGGTTCAAGCCACCCAGTTACACTATACAACTTCTTTCCTCTTTCCCCTAATAAATCCACCATGCAGTGTTTGACGTTAACAAATAAAGCTTTTGTGCATGTCTCTACCTTTTGTTTTCGATATTATGCTTAGGAAATGACAGTCTGGCCAGTCTGAGTGTACATAGGTTTACATGTAGGTAGGAGATATTTGGACACACAGGAAAAAACAATATCACATGCAAATAGATACATAAGGTCAATCTCAAAATATTACACCTCAATAGTATTGAACATTTTGTATTTCATACAGAAATTTGCAAACAAATCATCAAACCTCAACACCCTTAACCACAGCATGCGAGCAGCCATGCACAGTTAATTAACAATACACCCTGCCCATACCCAAGCTAGTCCATACATACATGTACATTGTTTTTTTCTTACAGCATAAGCAACTAGTAGTAGCAAAAATTGGACAGTTATGTTTCTCCTCTCTTCTTTAGTGGAAATTTGGCAAACTTGTTGGAAAATAGATATTTGCGGATTGCAAAATGTGTAGCTACATGTACTTAACGTATAGCCTGCACAATCGTATATCCTGACATATCATTTGGAACACAACAGTTGAACAGACTTACTTCAATACTTCACATTTCCCATATAGGATTATTTAGTAAAAAGCTGTAATGCACAAGATATTTTGAATTCTGCCCACACTGTTATCATCTACTATCAACTCCAAAAATAATTTTGAGTTTCGACATCTTCTTAACCGAGAAACATGATACACTTTTTTATGTACAAACAAAACATTTTCTAAGTCCGAGCTACACACGTAACTGTGAGGACAAATTTGGCATACTGTTGTCACTGGGTTGCCTGTCCTGGATACCTGCTTTTTTGCAACAGTTCTACTGCTTTAGGATTACCAAAAGCAAAAATAGGTGCCACAAATCATCCATTTGTAAAAAAAAAAAAACTAACTTTTCAATTACACACCCTTATAAACCATTTTGGTTAGTTTCCTGCTTACGGATCCTTCATTCAACTTTTCTCTCTATGCTGTAGACTTTCTTTCTTCAGCCATGCTCCTTTAGATCTGTACGATGGACCAAGGCTACATTTGTACACCACAACCTTCCTCCAACATCATCACAATGTGGCCAGGCTTCCACTGCATTTCTTGCCTCCAAAGTTACATGGTAGATAATAAAGCAATTTTTTTTGGTTCTAGACTTGAGACAAATGCTAGTATGTACAGCTCTATCCAGTGTGTAAGGCAACCCTTCTCTTTTTTTCCATAAATATTGCACGTAAAATTGCTACATAACGTATCTTCTGTTTTTATACGCATTCCCTATCACAGTCAACATAATGCTACTGTAACAAGGGCTCCATGTCTATGCTGTCCATCTTTCAAGCAGTTAGCTGTTGATGTTGTGGAATATGTCATACAATAGACTGATAAATAGTACAAATGTACATGATAACAGTACATGTACATACGTCTGTCAACCTTAAACTTTGTATCTACCCTACGTCTGTCCATTTTCTATATTGAAATACATGGCATATGCATTTGGGCATGGACGTAGAACCCCACAGCAGCCTACAATGTAATCCCCAAGACTGGGGAAAGCTCTCAGCCCTATATATGAGTGTACAGAGACAAATAGTAGCATTGGAAGCCTCATTGCATACATTGAACATGTATTATCCACTCAGGCACATTGGGGTTGTGTGTATGCTACAACCACTTGACCAGTATTTCTTTTTAGTGCCCCTGACAACCCCCTGCTGAAGAATGGTTTGGTCATACACGTGTGTTTTATGTATTCTTGAGATATGTGACTGATCCATTTTTTCTGTAAAAGAGGGTGATGCAATTCTTTAAGTCCTTCCAAGGTCCCAATGACTTTCTAAAACTACATGGATATTTTCCATTTACAAAAGAGGGTGGTCAGATCTTAGGCACATTAGGGAGGAAATACTGGATATAAAATGCATGGTGCGTAGCAAATACTTCATAAAACCTGCAACATTGATTCCTTAGTTCTGCACAAGGTATTCATACTTGATATACAAACATTCTTGACTTAATACTTGAGTCCCTTACACAGCTGCAAACAGAAATATATCCAACATGGACAATGAAAACCTTTCCCTGTGTTTTTTTTTCTTCTAACACAGTTGCCATGCCAGGAGACACAGTGCATGTCACATAGCTGACAACCTGTATTTGGAATACATTCCCACTAGATGTAATGTACTCACACCAGACATATTACATGGACTTAAAAGATGACTTCTTGCACATTTCTTGAGTGAAGGACAATTTCTTGGAGCTGGCATATCATAGCATGAAGCTCCAGCACACTGGTGCACACACAACGGTGCACTTCTCAATCAAGTTGTTCCCACTGAATTGCTACACTGTGTTCCAGGTCTGCTCCAGCACAGCAGCTTTTCAAATCTACCTGATTCAAATGATGATAAGCGACATATCTTTTCTGAAGGGCCTAAAAACGCATCTAACTGCCGATCCTCATTGATTATTGAGATCATGCTTCCAGTGAGCCAGCACCATCAATGGAAGGGTTACTTTGGGTTTCAGGAGCACTTTTTATTTTTGTTTCTGGACTTGGCAGACTTTGACCTTGAGCAGCAGATCTTGTATCTCAAGAAAAGACTCTAAGAAGTGCAATATGACCAAATCCTGATCTTTGCTGAAACCTGCCATTGTCAAAGGGTCAACTCGAAGTGGATTTAAGTCTCTGGTCCTTTGATTGCCGAGGGTTCTCCCTGTCCCGCTCTCTGGATTGTCTGTAAGAATCCCTCCCGTTACGCACGGGGAAGGGAGGGCGTCTGTCCCTGTCTCTATCACGCTCGCGAACTCTTTGCTCCTTGGGGGGTGGTGACAACTTGCGAGGGGGTTTGGACAGTGGGGGGGTGGAAGGCCTACGTTGTTGTTGTTGTTGTGGTTGTTGCTCCTTTGGGGTGGAGTTTGTAGCAGCATTTGCATTTTGAGTCTGGGTAGCCGTGGTGGTGGTGGAGGTGACAGGAGGAGGAGCCTGGCCGGGTTTGGGTGGTCGTCTTGCTATGCTGGCGTAAGTCTCCAGAGTCTTTGGCTGAGCCAAAATGGAGTTTTCATCCTACAAACAAAAGCAGTTCTTAAAAAGCCATTCTGGAAGAACATTTCAAACTAATACGAAATAAATCATTTGAGTTGATAAACTTTTTTTACATTTGAGAGATCATCCACTATATTTCATCAATGACTAAGAATATATGTAACCTTTACATAAATCATTTATTATGTTTAACGAAGGAAAACATATTGCTTTAGCTACATTTCCTCTTCTTCTTCTTCCATTCAAAACACTGACCTCTGACCTGGCCAATGACCTGATTTGTTGACGTCTGTCACCATGGTAGCTGGTGTTGGGTTACAAAATGTTGCAATTTATGGTAGGAGGAATTTAGACTCCTGACTGACCATATATATGAATGTACATGTATTTCAGTAAGAATTAACAGAGAAGACCATATGCGAAGGTAAGCATTATGCATTCGCTTTGCAAATGTTACCTTTCTAGTTGAACGATTACTGCCCAGACATGACCAGCAACTTGGCAATAACATTACCTACAGACTAAAGTTTAACTTACCATGGTCCCATTCACCTGAGCATCATTGTTATTGTTGTTGGAGGCTGATGCGTTATTGTTGGCCTGGACTGTTTGTGTAGAGGTTGTTGTCTGTGTGGCCTGTTGTTGGTTCCCTTGTGACTGGGCAGCCTTCCTGTCAGGCAGAGGGGCAGGCTCGGCGGCGTACGGAGGAGCACCAGGCACAGGCTTGGGTTGGCTGTACGGTGAACACATGAAAGATATGTTTCCTTCCAGCAAACTCAACTCATTCTCTGAGTCAGTACACTTACATGTACATGTACTTGACAGTTTAATTCCATTTTACAATGCACAGAAACTGTCATCAGGGCTTCAAATTCATTTCTAGGAATAGGTGCACTGGTGCACCCAACCTAAAAAAATTGTGTGCACAAAAAATTTTTGGGTGCACCATATAAAAAAGAAAGATTACTAGAATGTCAGCAATAACTAAAGAAAAGTACTACATGCACATTTTTCTGAAACTCGGATGTTAAGAATATGCTGTATACCACAATACATAATTTACATTTGACATTTTTGCATACGTAAACCTACGAAAATATCTGTATGCACTGCTGCACCCACAGAAAAAATTGGGTGCACAGCTCCAAATTTGGATGCACTAAGGTGCACATGCACCCAGTATTTCCAGCCCTGGCGGGTCATATCACGCATTGCGAGACTGTAGATGTTTTTTAATGAGAATTAAACAAATGACTACTACATGTACATACCCCGGTGAGGCTGGGGGTGTGAGAGGGGGGGTCTGTGTCATGGCGTTGGACATGATGGGGACGGTCACGTTGGCCGACAGCTTGGCTGGAGGAGACACCGGGGAGGTGGGCGTGGCCGGGATGGTCTGCACAACCGGCATCTGCACCTTACTGTCTGTCTGAAGACGCTGGAATGGAAAGAAAGAAAGTTTTAGCTCACAGAAGAGCTAATCTCCCACTGGTCGTAACAGAGAAGACATGCTATGTGCTGAATTTACAGGGGAAATTCCCCTAGCTCTTTTCGACAAGCACAATGAACAGTGGACCACGGTTTAATGTCCCGTCCTAAGGAACGCAACCCTTTCCAGTGGTGTATTTTAGGCGAGTGACAACAGCCGGGATTCGAACACCCAACCTCTTTGTCCAGAGGAAGGGTCGCTAACCACTCAACCACATAATGCTACGGCAAGAGGACACATGTCATTGCTGAGAAAAGTACATGACTGGCATCTTTTATTCACACTTCCTTAAAGAGGATTGGAAAAAAAAGAAAAAATGCTTATAGAAGACGTCTCCTCAAGAACATACATACTGTACATGTAGACTAAGTACACAAACAGTACATTTGAAACCAGCACAAGAACAGCAATTTATACAAAACAAAATCATCCCAAAGACTGGAAACTACATGTACACATGTACTAGTTTGTTACCTTTGGGGGCTGTTTGACAATGTCTGCCATCCTGCTGTCAAAAACCTCCTCTAGTGGCTTGTTATGGCTGATCTACAATTATACAAAATGACAAGGATTACTTGTAAAAAAGCTGACATGTGGGAAAAAGTTCAACAGTGCGTGCAAGTTTAAACATTTAATGCATGAGGGCTACCTTAATTACAATCCAAACAAACAATAGCCTACAAATTGTACAATGTTGTGTAATAACAGTTCTAATCTATTCCTTTCCTTTCCATGTCTGTTCATGGTAGCTTTGTTGCGATCAATAGTTGATAATGGTGGGTGTTCTATGTACATACCGAAGTCTCAGATAGGGGTGGGAATGACGAGGATGTCAGATCAAACTTGGGAGAAGGCGCTCTTCGCATGTTTGTGGGCGAATCTTGTTTCTGACGCTGAAAGAAAAAAAGAGACATGTATTTGCATCCACCACGCAAGTCGACATTGGGATTTCTGAGAATTTCCATTTCAATATCCTGGAATGTAGATTTAATTGCCACTTGGAACCATTACTGTTCAATCACAACTCCTGTATTTAAGGTGTTACATTGCTTTTGACATGTATATACCACAATGCCACTTACAATATATATCTAACAATGCTACTTATGCTTGTCAGTTGAGAACAATGGTCTGGAAATATACTGTGAAAGGTGAAAACCTACTGGATTTCTGTCGTCTTCTTTCCCTCTTCTTCTCGGCCCCCTTGTATAACCTCTCCTGTAAAAACATGGGATCAAATTTAAAACACAAAGCAGCGCAAAGGTCATGTGAATAAAGGACATGTTTGAGGAAAGGTGAGAGCTTAACGTATATAGGCAGTCTGCCAAAGTGATTGAAAATGCATTTTTTTTAAATTGTTGGTTGATGCTGGCACAAGCTTTCCTATTGTCAATGGATATACATGTAGGGTGTTAGAAAAGGTTTGGTCTCAGCTTCTCCTTAGAAAGGTAGCAGCCCTAGCTTCATATGTATCCAGAATGTTGCCAGAACGTACTGTGCCTGTGTGAAACCCGTAATGTAATAAATATGCATCAGTAGAATGTGTCTTTCAAGGTAGCGTTCACATATTCAAGGATAACATCCCAATTTTTAAATGTTGTGTTGGAAAAGATATTGTCCCAAAAGGGACAAAATTCTGATGCAACCAAAAATCCATTAAAAAAAGTTTCATACAGGCGCAGTACGTTCCGCCAACTACACAATTAAGTAAAATGTTGAAGTGTTACCTGGCGATCACTAAGTAAAAAAAAACAAAAAAACATAAGTACAGGGAGATTAAATTTTCTACAGCCACTGTTACATACTTCAGGATAATTAATGACCACTTCAGAGCGTAAATTTAAGAGAGTTATGGTTATAGACACGTGACCTTATTCACACGAGACTACGGAAGTACGTCGGCAGAACGCACTGCACCTGCGTGAAACCCGTAATGTATTGTACATAGCACTTCGGCAAAACGTCTCATATAGGGTCGTATTCGCGCATATAAGGACAACATCTCGTCTGCAGTTTCCAAATGTTATATCGGAAAAGATATCCTCCGCAACAGGCAAAATTCTAATGCAACGTTGACCAAAAATCCATCGAAAACCGTGAAAATACAGGGTTCTGCGCAGGCGCAGTACGTTCCAACGTGCTGACTACTATTGTTTTACACAATATCTCCCTACAACCACACCAGTACCCACCTTGAATCTCTCCCCATCTGTCCGTTTGTCTCCTGTGACTGGAGAGAAGCTGACATGTCTCGGCGCGGGTAACCTCCGCCCGTGTCCCGTTCCCTGTCCCCGCGCACCTCTCCCCGACTACTGGATATTCTCCCACTCCCACCATTACTGCTCCCCCCGGGCCCCACACTCCTGTCTGCACCCCCGGGTCCCCGCACTCCACCGTTTTCCACATTGACTTGCAGCTTGTCTGTTGAGACTTTCTCTGGGTTGGTCTGTGACCGGGTATGCATCTTCACACCAGACGTCCTTATGGAGGAAAATAGACATAGACAGAGCATGAAAGTTCATCTGAGCTGGTAAAATACATGAAGAAGAAATAAACTGTTCTCAAACTCGCAAAGAAATTGACTCACCAGAAATTTTCAATTGGGTCATGAAGCTGATGAAGACTGAGCGATTTAGTTGAAAATTTCTGGTGAGTCAATTTCTTTTTGAGTTGGAGAACAGTTTAGTTTTTTCTTCATGACTCTATACTATATCACTGTATCATGTTATCAACTTCAACAGCTTGAATGGACCTATTACATTATTACGTCACAGTTTGTTTACCTGTCCTAAAGAACATTCTACAACGGTCAGTTAAAGAATAAAGATCATTTCAAGTTTTCAAAGTCAGATAATTTGATTTTTGCTGCGTCTCTTTTTGTTGACACAGCATTACATGCTGTAATGGGTGATTTAGTTGTGACAGTAGACAAAAGTACTATATCATATGTAACGCTACACAAACAAACACACACACCTGTACAATATAAACATTGATTGACCACAAACTGTCCCGGATAATGTAATTATAGGTCCATTGAGTAAGCAAAACATTCAACTCCCCCCTCCCTAAACATCCAAATCAGCTAGCTTGATAACAAAAAAACATACAAGTTACTGATGATGTCATGTATAACAAGTAAGTAGCTATATTTGTACTCCATTGCAGGCCACATAAAAAAAGTCTGTTAAGTTAATACACATCTGTAGAGGGTTTGTACTAAATTGATGATGTTTTTAGATAGAATAAACAGCCTGGTATGAGTGCCATGGATGAGATCAGACTATATTTCATTCTAGGTCATAAACAATTAGTGTTTTGTCTGAAGGAAAACTGGATTTCAGTGCTTCATGCACGACACGAATGATCGTTTTTACATCATTATGGGCAGGTTTTGGCAATGCCTCAGGGGCAAGCATAAAAGTATAAATCATGTCCAATATTGCAAGAATAGTAGGAATTTGGTGGACAGTTTGTCCACAAAAATACGTCCAATTGCAAGAATTGTAGGAATGTGTCATTAAAATGTCTTGTCTTAGAGAATCTTGTCAGATCTTGTAAGATCATAGATCATGTGATTTTTAGTATTTTTAGATATGTTAGGTGATGATTGACATTCTAAAATGGCATTACGGACAAAAAAGCAAAGGATGATAGAACTGTTTTAGTATTTTTTGGTAAGAACCCTAGGCTTGTAATCATAATGTCCAACTCCAATTTGCTCTTGTACAGACTAAAATGCATTTATGTTACAAATACATAGAACAGTATTATGGAAGTGACCATCTACAAATACATGACATTGTACTAAATGTACATTGTACTAAATGTAACTAGGTGGTTATGAGTCCACTGATTTGTGTTGGGATGACTACATGTAAGTCTGGTCCTAAGAACTCAACATTCAACTTTTAGTTGTTTGCTGAAAGACAACACAGTAACCTGAACCTTTGCTTAAAGAGCAGGAAGTCAATGTTTTCCACAGACCATGAACAACAGACAAGATCCTTACTATCAAGGCATTACAGCAACATTTACTACATTATAGGCTACTCTTCTAAAATCTCATGAAATTCAAAGAACAGTCTTTCATCTTAGGCCACAGCAAGTAATTTTATGGATGACATAAGCGCGCGAATTAATTTTGGCCTGATTTAAAAAAAAATTTTGTTGTCCTCTGACAGTGGTCAACATGCCGAAAATGGGCAAAGATACCTGTTGCCATGTCGGAAAGTGGACGGCAGATAACTATGAAGAGAGGAGACAAGAAGAGGCTCTTAAAAAGGACTTAATGTTTTGTTTCTCACTTTGATGCAGTGATATGTGATGCTGGCTGTGTATATGTGATGTTCCTACTGAATCAATACCACTTGTACAATGATTGAGCCAAAATTTGAAAATGTGGGAACCTTTTTTTTTTCGGCCCGCCTTGTTTTTTTTCACCCACTAGCTTTGATTTGAAGTCTGCGGAGGATGTTATCCATAAAATTGACTTGTTGTGGCCATATATTTCAAGTGCATGCAAGTCCAGAATTTTATAAAAAGTCCTGTCTGTTGTAGATATGTGAAATACATGTAAAAAGAGACACAGATGGAAAAATACCTGGGGAAATATACACCTTTCCTGAAGACAAAGGGCATTCTATAGGGAGAGAGGGGGAGGGGAGGAGGTGCACGTTAGACAGGAATTGTGTCGTGGCAAAGGCAAAGGAATGAACATAATATCATGGTAACTGTAAAACACCGAATACAGTATCTCATGCAGACTAAGTTAACTAACCATATCCTGTGGTGGATTATGTGTAGTTGGTGACAGACGTTATCAAAATGCATGTACAAATCTCAACAAGTATAGACTGGAATACTATCATCAAAAATATAGCATTCTCATGGAGGTCAACACAGGATTTCAATACTGTCACATAATTATGCAGACTTAAGAAAAAAAAACTGTCTTCCTGCAATTTCTTTAGTTATGATGAAGATACAAAAACTGACTTTTGTGAAGCGCGTGCGTTACACTCAATGGAAATTATATCTAATTTTCAATCAGTTTTCTGTTCCCATGTTAACAGCCATCTGAAGGTAGGAAATTGTAATATTGACAAACGGTTTATAGTTCGAACCACTGACAAATGCATGGTCACAATCACATTCAAGTAAGCTTGCATGCAGAATAAGCACTAATTAAGGACTGAGCAACTTCTCTGCAAGTACAAGTAGCACAGTCTGGTCAGGTTACATTTTAGTCGTTTGTAGCCTCAAACTGTACATGCCAAATGTTGGGGGTGGGTAACAGTTACAGTTCAGTAGATACTCTTAATGGTACAAATCAAGATTTTTTTGTGAAATGGTGTAAAGTAGCGCTTAAAAGGTTCCAGTGGTTGCTGTGAAACGACTTTAAGTACTAGCGTAGTGTAACAAGAGACTGACTTTTAGTTGTTTTATGGTGACACTGTGATAGATTTTGGCTTGAACCTTAGCTTATTTCCAAGTATGCTTCTGCTTTGAAACTTTCCCAGGTCAATTAACCTGTATGTAAGCAGTTACATTGCCTCCTTGCTAGTCCATTGCTTCCATGGACTAGCAAAAAAATTTATACTTCTTGGATTTTGTTCAAACTCGAGGTTTGTACAATGTATCTTTCTGATATCGATTGGTATTGTAGGGAGAGATCATTACTAGACTTCAGGGTGTGTGGCCTCAATTTTGAGAACCGAGATACATGCAAGATTTTTTTTTGTTGTTGATAAATTTTTTTTAGTTTCGTTTTCAAGGCTCACCTGTAATTTCAACCCCTAGAAATATATATTTTTTTCAATGGTAAAATTTTGTTGCACTTTTGATGACCTGAAGAAAATGTAATGAAAATTTGAAAGAGGGATAGTTGAAATTTCTTCTGTCCAAGGATACAAGGCCTGATTAGATGCTAAAGACAGCCCTGCTCAAATTTTGTCTCTAAGTTCCAAAAAGGACTTCATGTCTGCAAATGGCATTTATATTAAGAACTAATTTAAAATCAGAATTTTAACAGTATGAGAGAAATAACAATTATGATTGATTTTTGGATCATTAAAGACATTTCAGACAAGCGGTCAGCAGTAAGGTGTACTGTAAATATAAATGGTGATCATAACACTGGCAAGTTGAACTCACCTATTTCTAATTCCCTGATGGCCCCTGGGACTGGAGGTGTTGATGGGAGTTTTGTAGGTTGGTGAGGCAGGGAAACCATTGCTTTGAAATGGGCTCTGGAAACAACAACAGACCTGGTTGAGATGCATGTACATGTGTCATATACAGTACAAACATCGGTAATGTCATACCTGGGCTGTGATAACCGTCATAACAGTACAATGTACTACATCAAAGATTTTATTACTATTCTGACTCTTAGATATCAAGACTATTCTGTATACTGGTGTAAATATTTACGTAAACCTACATGTACTAAAATTTTAGCGTGCTATAAAATTGGGTGCAGTGTCAGCTCCAATTTTGGGGGCACTAAGGTGCACATATTTCAAGCCCTGCTGGTGGTACCCAGACAAGAAAAGCTTTAAAAAAAAACTAGGCCAGCATCAAAAAGAAACTGAATGAAGGTATCGCCAAGTCGGGAGAGCTTTTAAAAGGGACAGCTGGATTGGAACCGGCAAACTTTGCTTGACAAAACATGCCAGACGAAGCATCAAAGTGCAAATAGTACAAAAGAGTAAAAATTATCTTATTGACATTCCTGAGTAAGAACAATAAAAACAACAACAATGGATGTTAAAAAGAAAATTAAAAAGGAACGCCAACATCAGGGTTCGAACCCTCAATGTCTAGAGCATTGAAATTCCCTTGACATGAGTTGCCCTGACAGATCCTGGTGTACTCACCACATCTGGGCTGAAGAAGTGTGGACTAGTTGCCCACTGTGGGATGGAGAAGGTGTTGAACATGTAGGCAGCCTGGGGACTGGCCGGGTACATGGGAGGGGCAGAGTAAGGGGGGAACCCTCCATATCCACCCCCACCCCCGCCCCCTCCCCCACCCTGCTGCCTGTTGTAGAGATTGGGATCCGAGGTTATGGCTGATGCCTGAGGCCCCACGCCTGGCATTTTTATCCCGTTCTTTGGTACAGCTGTGCCCAGCATCAAAGGCTTGGCCTTTATTCTAGCCTGAGAGACAAAAGAACAATAAAACATGTGTAAGACAAGAGCAACAGGTAAGGCAAAATGCATAATGTTTACCTTCGGACATGGTCTGATCTGTTAATTTTACTCAAACACATTCACATTCATGTACTACGAGTATAAAAATTGGTGACAGGAGCAGAGCAGACCATGAAATTGCAACATTATGTAACCCAACACCAGTCACCATGGTGACAGATGTCAACAAATCATGCCATTGGTCAGGTCAGAGGTCACTATTTGGAGAAGAAGAAGAGAAAGAAACTGAGCAAAAACAATATGTTTTCCTTTGTTAAACATAAATAGAAAGGTACATTGTAACATTTGCAAACCAAATACATAATTTTTACCCTCACATGTTCTATTGCTCTATTCATTATTCTATATATTTTACTTAAAACACATTTTTGATATGTGGTGACAAGCCTCTCCAACACATAATGTATTCAAAAACCACAAGTGTCTGCCACAGCACCAGTTGCCATGGTGACATCCATCTGGTCCAACTATATTTGTATAACTTGACGGAGCTGTAAACATGTGTATCTTTTCTTACCATAATGGGCTTTCCGAGAAATTCACGGACCTCTTCACGTAGGTATTTATATGCCTGAAAAAAAAAAAAAACGAGTATAGCAGCACTGTGGTAGCATGTTCAGAACATCTTTACATGCAAAGTCTATCTTCATACAACAGTACTGGTAATTACCATTGAAAAAAATCATCTGAGTTCTGTACAAATGTGCTTCATCCAAGACTATTTCCATCCTGAGAACAGGCATACAAATTGCAAGGTGTGAGAGAGAGCCGTCCCCTTATAGCTTACCTTCTGTGCATCTGTATCTGACTCAAATGTGATGAACCAGCTGTCATTGTGGGCAAACTCACAGGTGGAGAACTTGGGGCAATTTTCTCCTGAAAACAGACCCTCCACAGCCTGCAAAATAACAGGCTTTTCATCAAATTGAATACTTCTTCATTCATCATAAAAGTTCATCTGTGTTGGTAGTTACATGTTTAGAGTTAAAATTTTAGATCCAACACAAAAAGTTCTCTCACCTTGACCTTTCGACCAGTCACTCTGGTCTTCCTCTGAGTCAGTAGACTGACCCAGTGAGGCTTTAAACTTCACAAGTCTCACTGGGTCAGTCTACTGAGGAAGACCAGAGTGACTGGTCGAAAGCTCTAGGTGAGAGAACATTTTCGTGTTCGACCGATATCTAAAGTTTTAACTCTAAACACTTCTTCATCCATAAATTATGTATAATCATAAGGCCACACCAATTTAATTTGTTGGTTCTCGGATTTGCCTCTTCGTTTTTTTTCTGATTTGCAAAAAAAAAAAAATTAGATTCTGGTCCTGAATCAACTGAAAAATGCTCATATTTTGCCCTCAACAGTTGAGGAAAGTCCTTTTCTTCCTAGTTGTTACAGTTTTCCCATCTATCATTGCAGTGGTTTGATTAAAAGTGCAAAACTCAATGTTTAAATTTTAACCCAGCCTTTTGTGTTGACTTCATGGCTCATTTTGTAGCATTTAAGCGTATAATAGGATGCCTAGACCTGTTTTTATTTTTTATTTTTTTCGCCCTGTCGCTTCATATTTTTTCTAAAAAAATCCGAGAACCAACAAATTAAATTGGTGTGGCCTAAGCAACAAGTATCATTTTTCAGTAGAATCCTTCAACCACTTTAAAACTTTGTTATTCACAAAAGGGTTAGATAATATCTACTATCTAATACCACATATTTTTCAATTGCTTACACAGTTTTTCAGAACTTTTTATGGCATGAGCAGGTGTTTCAGACATGGCGTACAAAAGTCCAGAGGTTGGCAACCTTGCCTCTGGACCACAAGGTTCAGAGTTCAAATCCCGGCAAAGTTCAAATAGTCACTCACCCAGCATGCATGCTAGGGCCATGCTCCTTAGGAAGGGACGTTAAGCTGTGGTCCACTGTTCATTTTGCTTGTTAAATAAGTTAGTAGAATTTCCCTGCCACAATGAATCTGTAAATACTGTTTTTTTTTCTAGCCTCTGTCTTCGCTGTCACCACCAGTATGCCAATGTTGGGGTATGTAAATTAAAGGGGTCAATTGAAACTCAGCATGAGAGCACACGCCATATGCAGTTTTAACTGTATGCTAGCAATGTCTCCATCAATGGTTAGTAACATATTTGTCAATCCTCAGATACAGTATTTCAGAAAAAAAAGTGACAGGGCAAATAAAATGAAATTCTTTAAAACAAAGTTGGGCAGAGATAAGGACTTGAATGTGTAACATAAAGTAACAGACTAATTTAAGTTTGTAAAATTGTATGCAGTTGGAGAATATATTGTATAAAATAATATTTTTATTAAATTTTTTAAAAGTCATTTTAGGAAAGCAATGAATTCCAGTATTTTTTTTGGCATATTTGTGGCTCCTGAGATGGCAGACATCTTACAGAATCGATCCATACTACTTGTCAACACACTTGATGACAATAAGAAGCAATGTTAAGACATGTAGGATGAGAGATACTGACCTCCTGAGGTGTAGACTCAGGAATCTCCCTCAGAATGACGATGCAGCGTTTCTGGTTGGGTCTCACCTTCTCTCCCTTATCATCCACTTGTACCATGGGAGATTCTGCACAGTGGACATAACATACAAACTTACCACTCGAAAAAACATTGGCTATCATTAGAGAGAAGACTTATTAATGCAAAATACATGCAAATCAGCTCCCTACATGCACTGGTAGAGCTGAAAATGTCTATAAAACGGCTAGCGGACATTAGACATTCTCAAAAGTTCCGGACATTTTTCAAACATTTCTAAGAATGCCTTTCCAGGGACTTTACAGGGTCTTTTTGGGGAGGACTTGCTTGTTGTGCTTTTCATTGTTCACAAAGTGTCTGTCAGAATGTCTTTAGAAAAAACTGTGAAAACTCCAAGCACTAAACAAAGCCAAGGCAATTTAGAGGGCGGGACGCAATCAATTAACGGACAGATGCTAATATCTTTATAAGTGCGCATTGTGCTAAACAAAGGACTGTCTCCTAGGGGTGTCCCTACCTGACATGTGAAGAGACTATGGATATAAAATGTCCCTCTTGGGTTATTTCGATGTAGTTTTTCAGTAACTTAATGTTCTCCCGACAGGCCTTTGTTCAGCGATGTCTAAATCATATCCAATGTCCGCTAGCCATTTTAAAGACATTATTGGCTCTACCAGTGCTATCTTTCTACATGTAATAATAGAATCATTGATATTCAACTTTCAAGTCAAAACCTGTGAAGTTGCAAATCATTTTATCTACACTACTGTTATACATACAAAATGTACCTGCCTGAATTCATTGTATCCTCAATATCAAACCTCCAGTGCTTTTTTGTTTTAGAAGAAAGCTTTCTATTGGCAGTTAGGACTATTTAAAGGCACAACAATCAAGTGAATCAAGTTAAGGATAACATCTGCCTGGACTACTTTAGAAATAGGTACACCAGGCAAATATGGTTGCACTGTGCAAACGAGGCAGAGTTCTCACCAAAACTTTTTCCCATTATTTGTCATTTGTTCAACCTACATGTAGATGAAAGCAACTTTTTTTTGCAAAACGCATCAGTTTTGGGGTTCCCGGAGGATAATCCATATATTATTAATCAAATCAACATGGCCTCACACTGATGGATCTACCATGAACTCACCTTGCAGACATTCCTTGATAAGCTCCATGTCTGAGGTTAGTCTCTTCACCTGGTTAAAGTTTGCTATAGTCCAGATTGGTACAAACTGATCACTGTCCATCTGTGACACCAGGTACGTGTCATTTGCCAGGTTCTCCCTAAAAACAAACACAACTCATTAAAGATACATAATGTACCACAAAAACAATAATACAAAATTAGGATGCATCGATGAAGGTTAGACATCCAGGTAATAAGATACGCCAAAAAGCAATTGACTGACGAAAGCTAGTGGATACTAGATGAAACGTGTGACCATTAATTTTCCAAAATCTACATGTATATCATCAAGTTGCTTGAGTAACTGCTTCTTGGCAAAATTAGGATGTTTCAGTTTTCATCTTAACCTGAATGTTATCTCTTGGGATTGTACCTAATAATCAACAGATCTTTTAATCACGGTAATCAACACTGTCAGGCCTAAGAAAAAAAATGTTGTGTTTCCTGTTTCCCGACCGGCCCTAGAAAAACCTGCTGACCCTAGCCTTTTTTGTGTGGATCCCTGCAATGGACATACATGTGTACATGTAAATTTTTCAAGCTGATCAACCTTTTCTAGCTCCATAATTTGACACCTGAGTCATTAGACATTGCACAATTAGTTTTCCAACATTGACACTGAAAATGAAAGTGTCCTCATGCAAGTTTTACTTTGTAGAACTGTATTGTATATTAGTTGGATCAACTAAGTTTAAAAAAAGAAACACAAAAGAAAGATAATCCCTACCTCCTAACCCTATTTTTTTCAGGACTGAAACTGGAAACACACCATTTTTTTCCTAGGCTCCAGTCTCTCAAACAAACACACTGTCCTGTCTCTGGAACCCATGGGGGACCAGATATTTACTAATTTTAGGCTACAGATAAGCAGAATAATTAGTATAAGTACAGTAAAGGTACTTAATGATTAGGTATTTTAGGGCCTGTACCTTATCAATTTTTGCAGTACAGAACACAGCTGTAGTTCCAATGGGATAATTGCTTAAGATCCAGGTCAATTTGTGGCCTAAAGCTAGTGGGTAACTTATAACTTAAAAGTTACTAAGGCCTCTGCCCCCCTCCCCCCCACCTCACCTCACCTCACCTCACCGGTCCCATAGCAGTCTGTCCTGCCGTCGGGGCAACTAAACTGTCCCCCCCACACACAAACAATATTTTCAAGATCACTTCAAGACTTGCCAACATTTCTGACGGCACTATTTTTGGATTTGAATGATTGTTCTAGTCCAAACTCACAGCCACATTGCTGAAAATTGACTATTTGGATTCATACAAATACATGTAGTGTATTTGTATGAATGTATTTGAAAACAGTTGAGTTCCTCTTTATACAGAGTGCTGATTCCTACTGTTATCTACTAGATAGATGACAGGGCTCGAAATTAAAGGTGGTCCAATGGCCACTGACCACTAAACTTTAAGCTGGGACAACTAAAAAGACACTGTTGGACATTTTTTGGGACAATAGAAAAATAACCAGAACACCAGAATGTGAGCCCTTCTTTGAGCCCAATTTCCTCTTTACACTGAAATTATAGTGCGCCTGAGTAAAAGTTTACTTCAAAAAACGGTTGGGACAGTTCATCCTCACTTCGGGACAGTTGAAATTTATTTTTGGGACAGTGCTGGGACAATAGGAAGCAAAGTTAATTTGGAGGCCTGGATGATACCTGTGATTTCTGGTTAATAATAAACGTACCTTGAGAAGTAGTATTCCAGCTGATACTTCAGAACTTTCTTGAGCTCCTCTTGACTCATGGTTCCTGCAGCCTGGCTCTCCTCACCTTCACCTGTACACACAACAGTTACTATAGGCATTTGAAGTGGAATCTCGTATTTTTCAATACGCTGATGATACAACGTTAACTCTTGGGGACAAAATTTCCATTTCAGCCAGTCTTGATATTATCAATGATTTTTCGTCCTTTTCTGGATTAGTTCTTAATAGGGGGAAAACCGAAGCTATGTGGCTCGGCTCCTTTAGAAATTGTAATGAACATGTTGGTGGCCTTATATGGACTGATACGGTAAAATGTTTAGGTGTTAGTTTTTCACATTCTGTGTGTGCCTCAAATATTGAAGCCAATTGGAATAGGAAAATTCTTAAAATGAAAAAAACTTCTTTCTTCCTGGGCCCCTCGAAACTTAAGTTTGTTGGGTAAAATATTAATACTTAAGAGTTTAATCGCTTCACAACTTTCTTTCTTGTTAAGTGTACTAGTACCACCTGACAAGTTCTTAAATGATGTTAATCTCATGTTCTACAGATTTTTGTGGAAGAAGGATCGAGTTAAACGTAATAATTCAGGATTATACGGCAGGTGGGTTGAAAATGCCTGACATAAAAATTATGCATAAAACGTTTATGTTGAAATGGATAAAAAAGCTATCATACCAATGTAGTGCATACTTACCTACTTGGAAGAAGATTCAGTTAAGTTACTTACATAGATTTGGTTCTAACCTTTTTATCTTTAGATGTAACTGCAGTGTTCAGCATATTCAACCTAGCTACTGTATGCAGTCCTTACCTGTTTTCTACCAGAAATTGATACAAATCTGGTATGATTTAAAGGCACCCGAATTGATAGATGCTATAACTGGTGAAAATGTACCATGGCAACCTCTTTGGAACAACAACTGTATCACATATAAAGGTAAAATGTTATATTTCAGTAGTTGGGTCAAAAAAGATATTATGTACATTAATGATATTGTAGATAAACAAGGACACTTTATGGCATTAAGGGAGCTGAAAAATATTGTTGGAGATTATCCATGTTTATTGTTTCAATACAATGCCCTATTTAATGCTATTCCTCCCAAATGGAGAAGTACTCTTCACATAGAAAGTGAAGTGCCTAAGTATAAGACTACAGGGAAAAGATGTTTGTATACAGACTAATTCTTTTTTCAAAAATATTCTTCTTTTTCGGAAAGCAGTCACGCCTACGGGCCAAAGTTTCTGGGAAAAGCATTTACAGGGGATGGATTTTCAATCCACACCCTGGAAGACAATATGGAAATCGTTATTTCTTGTTATAAAGGAACCAAGAATTCGTTCACTACAGTGGAAAGTGTTACATAATGTATATCCGACCAGAGTTAAATTACATAAACAAGGTATTTCAGAGAATGACAAATGCTTGTTTTGTAACTCTGTGGACTATGTTGAACATTTTTTTATTATTGTGACATTGTAAAACCCATTTGGTCAGAAGTAGAAAAGCTTTATTGTATCAAATACGGAAACACATTATTGCTGTCTGTACAGGATGTTATCCTCGGCTACAAACTTCACGACATTGTAAAATATCACTATATTAATGTACTGATACTACTTGGCAAATTCTCAATTTGTAAGTATAAATATGGTGAATACAAGGGTAGTATACGGATATTATATGAAAATGAATGTTCCGTGAGAGGCTTAATTTAAACGTTGCGTACCATGTTGTAAACAATGTATACTACATGTTTTTGTAAACCGAAAACTTCAGGAAAATCGTAAGCAGTTTTGTGCTCACGAATATGAAACCAACTGTTAGTTCATTTGCAATGTATTGTTATGATGTTGTTGTGTGAATAAAGTTTTCAAAAAAAAAGTTAACTATAGGCATGAGCACACACAAGCAGTGACATAAGGCTCTGCTCCTGAGGCATCGCCAAAAATATGCCAGGAAATTTTTGCCCTTGTAAAAAGATGTCATTCAACTCAGCTTAAAAAAAATCTACCAGCAAAACTTGCCCTGCAAACTGCAGGAAAAAAGGTTTCAGTGCGTCAAGATTTCACAATTTTCTGGGGGAACATACCCCCTGGACCTTCCTAAGGGTGTTAAGTTCAGTGTGTTAAGTGATATTACCATATTTTCTGCGTAACTCGGATAACTTGATAGTACAGTACATGAAACAAAATTGATATTACGCCACACCAATTTGATTTGTTGTTTCTCGAATTATTTAAGAAAAAATATGAAGCGACAGGGTGAAATGAAAAAAAAAAAGCTCAAGGCATCCCATGATAGCCGGACATGTTACAATATGAGCCATGAAGTGAACATATCAGGCTGTTTATGATTAAAACAATACACTTTTAATGAAACAAAGTTGCATTGTTACTAGTACATTGAAAAACTTTAACAACTAGGAAGAAAAGGCAATTCTTAAACCATTGGGGCCAAAGTATGTCTTTCATTGTGCATTTTGCAGTTGATTTAGAACCTAAGTTTTTTTTAGCAAATCAGAAAAGAATTGACAGGGCGAATCGGAGAAACAACAAATTAAATTGGTGTGGCCTTACGAGAAAAAAAAATCAGCTTGTGAGAAAATATGTAAAAGTTTTTGAACTGACCTGCAGCAGTAGGTCCTGCTGAGGAGGATGTAGGGAAGGCATATTCACTACTGGGGGGTGAGCTGACACTCCCAGGGGGGGAGCTGACTCCGCTGGGGGAGGCCGCGCCGTCCGGCAGGTCCTTTATCTTGGCTGGGTTGGGAGAGGAAGGGAACATGGCACCGGGCTGCATCTCACTGATGTCCCCATTCAAGGGGAAGATGTCTGCAACACAGGGATATGTACATGTACTATCACTGTATCAGTCATCAATAGTACTTTGTACCTAAACCCACATTTAGGTTCAGGTCTGGATTCAAGTCCAGATGTTTAGGTTCAGTACCGGACTCGTAAGTCCAGACCTAAACCCATGGCATGTACAAAATTGCATGTTGGCAACCTTGCAATGTCTGGGCAAAACTGTGACCACATGACATGGACTGATGGAGGCAGAGACTTGACGATGCCCGATGGCAATGTTTTCTTCATTTAGGAGCACAGATTTTGCAATGTATGGACGTTTTTAGGTGGTTTGGAACGAAAAGTGGTATGTGACATGGGTTTTTTTTTATAAGTCCGGAATCGGTTCTTGCCTTTTAGTGCCTTTTTTTACTTGAACCTAAACATTTTTACAAGTCCGGATTCGGTCCAGGGAACCGGTACACAGCACTTCAGTTATTGTAGTACATATAGAATGTAACACAGTTTATATCATACCCGGGCCGCGATAACGTTCGATAACGGGTTCCGGACCGGGCCGTACTTTACGGTACAGCCCGGTCCGGAACCCGTTATCGTACGCTTCCATGGCTTCCATAAAACGATTCGAACACGTTTCGCCCTAACTGCGTGTGCCCCTTTAGAAAATTCGAATATAGAATCCGGACGTTGGAACTGATGTTGCATTTGAGGGTTTAGGGGCACCAACTTTTGGCTCATCTTGCATCAAAAGGCGCGTTTTCTTGGGTGGGTATGACATAAATAAAATACAACACGGTGTATTCCGCATCGCCCTCGGTCCCGGCCCTCCCACGAGTCGGATCGCCCTCCGGCCTGCGGGCGATCTGACCCGCGGTCGGGCCGATACCTCGGGCGATACGGAATACCCCGTGTTGTATTCTATATGTATTCTGAATCGCCAGAGGTACCAGCTCGACCGTGGGACAGATCACCTTAAGTCCAAAACATCAGATGTTTTATATCAAACTTTTTTTTTATTCGCACGCTCGCATCAGTTTTGGGGTTCCCAGAGGATGTCATCCATATAATCAAATCAAGATGGCCTTATGGGAAGCAAATAACCAACCTTCTCCAGTTGGTCCATCAATAGATGTGTCCAGCTGCGGTGTGGAGGCATGTTCGCTGGAGTCCTGCCATGCCTCGTTACTGCCGATGCCTGAGTCTGGTGTGGAGGACGTGATGGGACTCTGCCAGGCCTTGGCGTTGGGATTCAGTGCCAGCGGTCCCTTCTGTGTTGGTGTTCCCTGGTACATACACAGAGGAAGGCTTAGTCTAATTAACAGTTACTCCCCCTTCACAAAAATCTACAAGCTCAAACTCTTTGACCACCTGGTAAAATCATAAAGACAATGTAGAAAACACTTGAGCAGGTTGGAGCATGCTTATTTTTTTATCTTATTTACATAGTTCAGGGCTCAAAATACTGGGTGAATGTGCACCTTGGTGCACCCAAAATTGGACCTGTGCACCCAATTTTTTTTCGTGGGTGCACCCAAATATTTTTGTAGGTTTACATAATGTTAAGATACCAAAAAATGTATAGTACTAGTAAACGGTATTCTTAACTCCTAAGTGTGAGACAAATAATAACATCTTGGTTGTAGTACTTTATTTTAAACATAGATTACCTTATTTGGTGAACCCATAAATTTTTTGTGCACCCAATTTTGTATATTGGGTGTATCAGTGACACCTATTCCCAAAAATGAATTTCAAGCCCTGTAGTTTATGAGCAGTAGATAGCACTTATAAGATCTTTTGTTCAAATACATGTAGCATGTTTAAAGACCATTCCTGTATCATGAGAATAGATCCTTTATAAAGGGGGACTAATAAACTACATTCTTACCAATACAAAATCAACCAAATGCCAAAAATCTCATGACAGATTAACAAGAAAAAGAAACATTCAATGCTCAAGATTCTTTTCTCTGCATACCTGCACCAGACAAATTTGACCTGCACCACTTAGACTTTAGAACTAGAAGTATGCATCGATTTAGCTGTCATGGTTTAAAATTGATGAGCACCCAAGCATCCACTCACACATTACAAACACTATTGTCAAGATCACACCTAGATTTCATAAAATCATCTATTTTCTAAGGGCACTATTTTTGAGTCTTAGGCCACACCAATTTAATTTGTTGGTTCTCGGATTTTTTCAGAAAAAATATGAAGCGACAGGGCGAAAAAAAATAAAAATAAAAACAGGTCTAGGCATCCTATTATAGGCTTAAATGCTACGGAATGAGCCATGAAGTCAACACAAAAGGCTGGGTTAAAATTTAAACATTGAATTTTGAACTTTTAATCAAACCACTGCATTGATAGATGGGAAAACTGTATAACAACTAGGAAGAAAAGGACTTTCCTCAACTGTTGGGGGCAAAATATGAGCATTTTTCAGTTGATTCAGGACCAGAATCAAATTTTTTTTTTTTGCAAATCAGAAAAAAACGAAGAGGCGAATCCGAGAACCAACAAATTAAATTGGTGTGGCCTTAAGATAATAAGAATGGATTTAAATTGGGTTGGTCACCAGAGCCAAAAGCAAACTAAATTGACAAACATGTGTCCAGAAACACATTGGAAAAATAATTTTCCAGATCAACCCAAGAGTTGTCTGCACAATCATATACATGTATGTTAGCTGGCTGTCATTATTATATTGATCTGACCCAAATAGTATTGTCTTCAGTACGTGACTTAGTTGCAATTACCTGGATCATTTACCTTTGATAAGAAGAAATATGTTTTTGTGGGCGTGTGTATGTCTGTGTGTCAACAGCATAACTCAAGAAGTCAATGATGAATCAATCATATTTGGCATGTGGGTAGGGTTTGGAGAGAGGAAGAAACGATTTAGATTCTGGGTCCCCTAGAGGCTTTCCTTGGTACTAAAACAACTTCCAGTTTTGATTTCTTGTGATCTGGACATGCTTGGGTCACGATTGAGCCCTTGGAACAGAAAATAAGTGACCCCCTTGCAGCTTGTTATGGAAATGCAGGTTGTTATGGAAATGAAGGCTGTTATGGAACTGATTCTGCGCCTAGTTAAGGTGAAAATTACATCATTAGGAGCCATGAAGTCAACACAAAAGCCTGGGTTAATATTTAAACAATGAACTTTTAATCAAACTACTGCATGGATAGATGGAAAAAACTGTAGGAACTAGAAAGAGAAGGACTTTCCTCAACTGTTGGGGACAAAATTATGAGTATTTTTGGGGTTGATTGAGAACCTAACCTTTTTTTTTTTCTTTTTGCAAATCAGAAAAAAATGAAGAGGTGAATCCGAGAACCAACAAATTAAATTGGTGTGGCCTTATCGTGCTTATAAAAATAAAAGTATGGTTAATTTTTGCTTCTTTGCCTGCAAGGCCCCCCTCCCCCTCCTGCTCTGGGTGCCAAATTGCACATTCAAAATATTGCAAAGTGCAAATCTTGAAAATCATGTGCATTTTGCACATTGCACATGGGTATTTCAAGCCCTGTTGTAGGATATCAATTATGCAAAATGCTACCTCTTTTGCATACTTCATTAAAAATGTCACAATGCCATTTTGCTGCAGTACCAAGGTTAGGCACCAGGAGGCCCACATTTGACCTTGACCTACTTACATACCAAAATATATCATAACAATCTGAAAAGGACTTCTTAAAATATGCTGACCTCAAGTATGCAGAAACACAGACACACACACGTCGACACACACTCATGTGCGCAAACACACACGCAAACACACACACAAACACACCAACCAAAACCACCCAATAAAATTAAAAGGCCATTTTTCATTGTTTGATAACACTATGTCACTAGATCTAGATATTGAAGTCAATGAGAGCAAAAATGGTAAATTCAAAGACATCCTGATAATTTCAGAGGTATCTAATTCACTCGTAACACTGGACCAATAACCAACAACATAGAATTAATTCATACATAAAACAACCTAAAATGTCATCACTATAGATTCCTTTTTTGTATGTTCAAACAGAAAAAAAAAAACAGACAATAAGCCAAGACAATTTTCACAATCACACAGGCATAAAATCCAACCCATTAAAACCCTCCATAATGCATGGGTACAGACCCCTACAGAATATAGATTGGTAGGCATTTCAGGAACTATAATAGCTTCTCTACCAATATTTGTGTTATCAAGATATATGTAGCCAGAAATTTTCCATCAAGTATATAATATATAAAACACACCTTTGATGTTAAAAAGCAGGTACTTTTTGGGAGAACAGTAGGCCTGAGAGAGCCACCACCCCCTGGACACTGAAGCTATGCCCAACCAGCAAAAGGGAATCCCAATCCTGGCCTCACTATTAATAGTGTGGACAAACAGACACCTCCATATATGGAAATTCATTTCCTCATGCAAAGAAATAGGCCAGTCCAACCAAGACGTGGTTGACTCGGGTCCAAGGACCAACCATCTGCTTCATGCTACACTCCTGAGGTAAAAACTGGGTCACTGGAACATATGCTAGGAATTCAAAATACAAACAACCTTGGTAATCAGCACACTGTGGAACAGGATTATCATTTTCACACCTTCTTTAGCTCATACCAATTTTATTTCTAACGTTCTCAGATTTCTTCAGGAAAAATGGTAGAACAAAAGAACCAACATCACCTGGCACTACTATAATGTGCCACATCTTTAGTCAAATTGTTTTAGTTAATTTTTCTTACATAATGTATGCAAGAGATCTGAACGGCATTGATTTAAGTGTACATATAAGATGAATGCCAGCAGTGTACCTTTATACTAACATTTTCCAGGGCTCGAAATTCATTTTTTGGAATAGGTGCACTGGTGCACCCAACCGAGAAAATTAGGTGCAGAAAAATTTTCTGGGTGCACGATATAAAACAGAAACTAATTACAGATCTTACTGCTCCTATTCTAAGCTTGAATCAGAAATGGAAGCTAACTTCAAAATCTTAAACAAGTACTGTACTACATCAAATATTTTATTATTTTTCTGACACTTAAATAACAAGAATATACTGTAATCTATTATACATTTAATATGTATAAAAACCTACAAAAATATTTGGGTGACAGGGAAAAAATTGGGTGCACAGCTCCAAATTTTGGTGCACTAACTTGACTATATTAAAGGTGCACATGCACCCAGTATTTCGAGCCCTGTTTTCCCTATATTTTTTGGTTAACAGAAAAAAGTGTCATTATTATATATTAAGGTATTCCAACTAATTAAGTGGCTGACCTCACTTAAGTGTTATGGATTCAATTTTGATATGAACTTGGCATACAACAGTCATTACAGTGTATAGTAGGCATTTTCCTGCAGTACCATTGTACCCTGCTAGGGTTCTAACGATTTATGAGACTTTTTTTTAAATAAGGAGTTTGATTACCAATAATGTTGAAATCATTATAATACTGGGCCAGTGGCAGGGCTCAAAATACTGGATGCACCCAATTTTTTTTTGGGGGGGGGGTAGGTGTACGGGCACCTCAAAGTTACTGTAGATACATTAAATGAATANTTTTTTCTGTCCAATAAACTTTTTTGTTTAGCTTCATTTAAACTACAATTTGCATTAAATGAAATTATCCATATTTGTTTTAAAGCGTATAATTAATATATTCGAATGTATTTTTATGTATGTATATATATTAAAGCTGTTGTATTTCAAACAGGAATTGTGTTGATTGACAGTTTGGATAGGCTATATGATAATAATTTTAATGCACTGCCTTTTCCTCGTTGTATATGGTGTCATAACTGCATGGGCAGCTGCCATAACCACCTCATAAACCACCTCGTTCGCTTCGCTCACACGGTGGTTTATTCGGTGGTTATGGCAGCTGCTCATGCAGTTATGACACCATATACAACTCGGGGCAGTGCATTAACCCTTTATTAAGGTATTCCAACTAATTAAGTGGCTGACCTCACTTAAGTGTTATGGATTCAATTTTGATATGAACTTGGCATACAACAGTCATTACAGTGTATAGTAGGCATTTTCCTGCAGTACCATTGTACCCTGCTAGGGTTCTAACGATTTATGAGACTTTTTTTTAAATAAGGAGTTTGATTACCAATAATGTTGAAATCATTATAATACTGGACCAGTGGCAGGGCTCAAAATACTGGATGCACCCAATTTTTGGGGGGGAGTGTACAGGCACCTCAATGTTTTCATAAGTTACTGTAGATACATTAAATGAATAGTAGTACAGTATATGGC